GGAGTTTGCACGAAAATTCATAACTCGGCTCCAAGAAGTCCCGGAGGCACGGGAAAAAGGTGGATAGAGGTGGGTGGAGGAGTGGAGCTTAAATGCCATTAGTGGGCGGAGTTTGCGACGAAAATTCATAACTCGGCTCCAAGAAGTCCCGGAGGCCGGGAAAAAGGTGGATGAGGTGGGTGGAGGAGTGGAGCCCATTGGTGGGCGGGGCATGACCAAAGTGGGCGGAGTTTGCGACGAAAATTCATAACTCGGTTCCAAGAAGTCCTGGAGACGGGAAAAAAGTGGATAGAGGTCAGCAAAGAAAGAGAAGTTAACTGCTACGGTTGGGTGGAGCGTGCGCTAATTGGGCGGAGTTTGCGCCGAAATTGTAATTCCAAGAGGTCCCAGAGACCGGTGAAAAAGGGGTAGAGGTCGGCGAAAGGAAGGGGGCCAAATGCTATTGGTGGGCGGGGCACGCACCGAAGTAGGCGGAGTTTGCCACGAGATTTATTGTCCGGAAGCAGTCCGGAGACCGGGAAAAAGAGGATAATGGTTGACGAAGAAAAAGAGGTTGAAAGCCGTCGATGATGGAGCGGATAGAATTTAGCTGAGAATTCAGATATTCGTGGTGTATCAAGCCAAATTTGAAAATTTTCGTCGCACCATCAAAATTCGCCGCAGATCTGTGTTGCGCGCGCAATGCGTGCGGCGCCAACTGGTTTCTGTAAATCGTGCTAGCCATAGACATTATGGAACTTGCTTATAATTATTGGGGTGTTACAAATGTTTTAAATGCACAAAGAAGGAAATTTTAAGGTGGCACCCACCATTGGGTGCCATTGTCCCACGCGACGAACATAGTGGCACCCACCGGTGGGTGCCATTGTCGTCAAAGGGTTAACCCTTTCCGGACCGCGCCTTTTTATGCTCATGCCGCGTGCTGCGCAGCGCGTATAAATATAATATATTTGATCTGTATTTCCACTAAAATCATTACTTTGTCCCGTTTTGTATTTGTCATGTCTAAGAGTATATATGTAGTGAATATGACAGAAAACCGTCGTGTAATAAAAGTGATAGGGCCATAAAAGGGAGGCAGGAATGAAAATTGTTCAAAATAAGTTGTAATGGGGAAAAGGGACCAGAAAGTGTCCGAAACGTTTGGATTTAATAGCATCAGATACGACATGCACGTGGTGTCATAAATTCTGTTGTATGAAGTGTTTTCAAATGATTTATAACTGTTTTCTTGAGCTCAAAGTGGAATCCATTTAGTATTTAGTTATTTTAGGAACTAGTTTGAGGATTGAAGTCTAGGTTTTTTCATACGTACGACATGAGTATCTTACATAGATATGTAACAACATAAAGATTTCGTCAAAAACCGTATTCTCGGAAAAATAGTCCCTGACACACCATGGGTGTCAGGCGGTCCGGAAAGGGTTAATTGACTTCTCAACTGACATCACTTGCTCGCACCTTCCGGCAGCACTTGCTCGTTTTCGAGACACAATGGCACTATTCATAATTAACACTACACTATTCATAATTAAGGAAAGGCAAAAGAAGAAGCCAAACTTACTGTCATAAGTTCCACTATTATTGCGACATAAACGAGGTAAGAAACCAATATGGAAGGCCAACACCATGCTAATTCCAGCAGCTTAAAGGCTCACATTAGTCGCTTTAAATTAACAAAAAAATTGTTCTTTTCTGTTTAACATAGCTGTCAGAACAGCAGAAAAAAAGCTCCAGCCGCAGCATCTTACTCTGCAAGCCCTCAGCGATCGTGCTGTTTGATTTCAGTGCAAGAAAATGCCACTTCGATGATTGTCCTCTGGTGTCTATCCTATAGACAGAAGGAGATAGTTTGCAATACTTCTGGTTGGGTTGTTTTGAGGGC